AAATTCTATTATGGTAATTGAAAGGTGGGGCCTTGAAGAGGTGATTAGATTGTAGGACCATACCCTAACAAATGGATTGATTAATAATGGTGGTCATGGGCGTGGTTCTGAGGGCTTTAAAAGGAGAGCATGTGAAAGTCTCTCTCTGCCCTGCCATTTCTGCCATGTGAAACCCCTAGGTCACTGTCACCACCACCAAGGCCTTCACCAAATGCATTCCCTGAACTTTGGACTTCCCAGCCTCTGATACCGTAAGCAATAAATNTTCACCAAATGCATTCCCTGAACTTTGGACTTCCCAGCCTCTGATACCGTAAGCAATAAATGTTTTTTCTTTACAAATAACATCCCCCACAGAGCTGGTACAAGCTCAGAAAGTCCGATTCTTGGTGAAACGCTCCCTCTGCAAATCTTCCTTCTATGCATTCTTTCCAAAGGTTGAAATCTGTGACTCATAGAGGGTGAGTTCTTGCAGCTTGCTTACTCCTTGCAGTGGAATAGAGCAAGGTTGGAACCGCAGCTATGTGACTTCCTAAGCCCTGGGAACTTGGTCTAATCGCTCCATCTCTCTGGGTCTCAGTTTCTTCATCTGAAAAACGAGGCTATCAGACTACTTCTCAGGGCTCTTGTGAAAGCTCAATAAGCTATTGCTGAAAGTGGGTAGCACAGCACCTGGCACTTAGTGAATGCACAGTCATTGTTATCTAGAATTTTTGTCATTACTTGTACAAGAGTCTGTAGACTTTGTTCAGCAGGATGTACAAAATGAGTAACACCTTGGCAAGGAGATTGTCCACATACATAAATAAACACAGTGCAAGAGCATGTCTGATGGATGGATGCTACGGCAGAAGTACATACTGCTCTGGATGAACAGGGGAGAGAAATGTTCATTTGATTGAAAATATCTGGGAAGTCTCCAGGGCAGAACATGGCATTTGAAGGATGGGGAGAACCCCCAAAGGTTGAAATGGGGGAGTGGCATTCCATGGGGAAGGGGAAGGCACTTGGGGGGGCAGCATAGGCCAAATGCAGAGCTCTGAAAGTGTAAGGCATATTTTCACAGTAGCAGCTTGTTCATTTTAGCTAGAAAATAATAAAGTAAAACAAAACAAAATAAAGAAGCAATCTGAGTTTTATTCTGTGAGAAAAGGAAAGTCACTGCAGGATTTCCATCAGGGGAATGTCTTGCTCAGTGGCACCCTTTAGAAGGATAACTTGTTGGCAGTCTGTAGGACAGCATGATGTGACGCAAGACAGGTGGCAAGGGGACAATCAGGAGGCTATTTCAATACCCGTAAGAGGTGTTCAGAGCCTAATCTAGGGCAGGACTGGTGGGAACATAAACAAAGACCAATCAGTTTGAGCCACATTGTGGAGAGAGAACCAAGTGATTATTGGCAGTGGCAGAGGCAGGCAGAGGGACAAGAAGAGGGAACAGTTGAACAAGCCCCTCCATGTGCTGGCATCCAGGTGGCCACGTCCATGTGAGGAAATGACCAGGGAGAGGGGTATAATCAAAAAGAAGAGGACTCAGGACTTGAGAAAACAGGGGCATGCCTTGCCTGAGGCTCAGATTCTGAAGTCAGTCATATCACATGGAGTCAAAACCCCTAACGGAGGCACAACATGGCAGAAGGCAGCCTCCATTCCCTCGGTAAGTTTGACACAGCCACTGTCCCTGCACCATTGGATCAGATCACTCTTTCTTCCACGGGCCACCAGATAAGGCAGTTGGCTTGCACTATGTGGGCATGTTATATGAAAATTTAAAAATCGCTTTTCATATTAAAGCCATACTCAATGGAAGGAGATAGTCACATTAGGAGAGAAAGAAATGCAGTAGCCTCGGGTGGCCACGGGAACCTCCCCCTCCCAGCCGTCAGCGTGGACTCGCCCACTCTTCTATGATGTTCCCCGTCACTCATGCTCGTTTGCTCCAGTAAAATGTGTATGTCCTATGACTTCACTGTATTTATACAAGGTCCTTCTATTGTGTGTGGAAGGTTGAAGACACGAGTACAGGCCCTGCCTTTGAGAAACCCTCAGTTTAGGTGAAATCAACATAAAAACCATGACTTGGAGCAATTCCAGGCTTACCTAGTGGCGAATGCAAGACTGTATCTTTCTCTACATTATGCAGAGGTTTTGAAGAATCTTACAGAATGCACAAGACTGTGATTCTTTGGAGGGAAGGTGTTAGGAGGAGGTGAGTAGCGATCTGGCTCATAAAAGAAAAAGGCAATTTAGAGCAACAGAAAGGAGTGGAGAGGGTGCTTCAGGTAAAGGGAGCAACACACACAAAGGCACAGAGATTTCGAATGATCCCAGCATATTTGGAGCACAATTAATATGTCACTTAGGATTGTGTTCAATTGCAAGTGAAAAATACCCAAGCAGCTATAGTTTAAATACATAGGGGTTAGTTTTATATAACAAGAAATCTGAAAGCTGGTGGTTGCTGGTGTTGATTCAGGCCCTCAAAGATGTCAAAGATGGCCTTTCTGGCACTTTCGTAGCCTTTTCCTTGTGCTGATCCCATTGCAACTGCTTAGCTCCAGATATCACTTCTGTATCTGCATTCAAGATAGAAGAAAGAGGGAAGGTGATTCCAGCTATTTCAGTTTGGGTCCCTCCAAAAGCAGAGCCCAAAGCAAAGACTTGGCTACACATAGTTTATTTGGTAACTGATCCCTAGAAGCAAAAAAGGAATCAAGGAGAATGAGAGGGTTGGCCGATTAGCTCAGTGGGTTAGAGTGCAGCCTTGTAACACCAAGGTCACAGGTTCAGATCCCCATACTGGCCAGCCACCAAAAAAAAAAAGGAGAGTGAGAGAGGAAAAAAGAAAAAGACAATATAAGGGTGTGTTAAAGAGATTGCTGCCCTGGGCAACAGGGGCTCTGTCGCACCCTCATTTCCTGAAAAGTGTACACAATGCCTCCCAGAATTGTACCCTTGAAGGACAGATAGCTGGAGCATCTATCCACTATGCCCTGTCCGCCACTGGTTCAGAGTCAATCCCAAGGGCATAAATCCCACAATTCCAGGCTTTGCTTGTGTGCAGGCCCAGTGGGCTTCCATGGCGTCAGAGAAGGCCCTGGGGCAGAGTACAGAAAGACGCACAACACACACTTGAGGCTGGACGCTGTCTGCATGAGGTGAATCTGAAACCACCGCCGCAGCTGAAATCAGAGGTGGGCTGTGGGGATGGGACATGAGGTGCCACA